TGTGACTGCAGCCAAGAAAAAGAAGAGAGTCTCTAGGTTTCTCGCTTCCACGTCCTCCTCTGAAAAAGCAAGACGCTTATTTTTCATAATTTAAAATGCTGCCTAACTCTGGGAGCATTAGAATTCCTAGACTATGACTGAGTATTAGTGTGCGTCTGCTTCAAATGTCAAGAGAGTCTTTAATAATACCATGTAAGGAATGTTCAGATGGTGACAGAATACAATAAAAGTGGGGAAATTCTTCAGTCGGGGTGAAATGAGCCATATATTGCCCACCACCTGAATGCTGTCGTCAGTGGGGGCAAAAAAAAAATCATTTGAAAGTTTTCACCGTTGCGGAGTTCTGATCTGAAACCAAAGTTTGATAAAATGGGTCAAAAATAACTATTTGAGAAATGTTCACATCTCAGTCTGGTTGAAGAATCTGAGTTCTCCTTCCACTCATTGCTTTTTTTTTTTTTTTGCCCTTGTTTTTCTTCTTTTGATCGTATGTACTTAGAAGACCTGCGTAACTGGGTAGACCTTGCCTAGGTCAAGTTCATGTACGTGGATCGTAATATGTACGAAACTCATGAGGGAACCTACACGGCTAATGATGAAGGGATGCTCAGTCTATGGCAGAGAGTGGTACCTTCCAGACTTAGCTGATGAATTTGGGCACTTGGGCTCCTTATTAAGAAGACCTACTTCCAGGTCCCTTGCTTGGAGTGTTGGGTGAGACCCCCGCCAGTTAAACTGGAGACCATCCTATCCTTGCTTGGGAGCAATGCACGTGCCAGATTGTCTCTCTTTTTTTTTTTTTTTTTTGAGACAGAGTCTCACTTTCTTGCCCAGGCTAGAGTGAGTGCCATGGCGTCAGCCTAGCTCACAGCAACCTCAAACTCCTGGGCTCAGCAATCCTCCTGCCTCAGCCTCCCTAGTAGCTGGGACTACAGGCATGCACCACCGTGCCCGGCTAATTTTTTTCGTATATATATTTTTAGTTGGTCAATTAATTTCTTTCTATATTTTTGGTAGAGACGGGGTCTTGCTCAGGCTGGTTTTGAACTCCTGACCTCAAGCAATCCGCCCGCCTCGGCCTCCCAGAGTGCTAGGATTTCAGGCGTGAGCCACTGCGCCCGGCCCAGATTCTGTCTCTTTATTTCAGCATGGGAGGGGGCGGGGAGAGCGACAGAGATCCGTATTTTTAGTTTTTGTCCCAGGTAATTCTTGTGATCACGCCAGTGTGGGAGTCTCAGACCCGGCACCCTATAACCAGAATTCCACTCTTATTTCTGCCCCTTCCCAGCTCCCTGACCTCAGATTTCAGACACCTTGTCCCTGCCAGCCTCAGTTTCCTCAACTAGAATACGTGAGAATAGAACTAGAGGACTAGAAATGGCCACAGAAACCTTTGCCTCTGTGAAATCGGATGGCTCGCCCCTTCTTCTCCTCTGTCCCCAATAACGCCAGCATTCGTACACACACGGCGCCCTTCATTTATTTTGGCAGAGTTTTGTTTCTCATGAGTGAGAACCACCAAATTGGCCTTAAAATGATTAGTCCTCCTGACAACATAGAAAATGATGATGTGAAATGAACCCCAAACCATGTTTTTTGTCTGCTCAAAGAATGAGTTTCATCTCCTTAGTTTCTATCTTGGAAGATGCTGAATGGAGTTGCTAGCCTTTGGCAGTTACCACTGGGTGGGAACAATACTGCAGCTTGGACTGTCTGAAACCTAATTTGAGGCCATGGGTAATGGAAGAGGGGATGACCTGTATCAGCCAGAGGGAGGAAAAACATTTTCCAGGGTGAGGGGAAGATACAGGAAGAACAGAAGCTATAAATCTATAAGAAGCAGGCTTCATCTTTCCTATCTTTCTGTTCCATTCTTTAAGAGCTCAAAATGATTTCTCTTTCTAGTTAGCCGAACTGCAAACTCCATTGAACCCCCATTAAGTTGATCCTGATTCCAAACATATACTCAGCCAGTAGAAATTTTAGATAGACTAGACTGGTTTCACTTCCATTTAAAAAAAAAAAAAATAGCAATTTTTTGAGCAATTAGCTCACCTCATCTTCAGAACAACCCCTCAGAGTTCAGAGATGATTATTCCATATTTAGAGGAAGAAACTAGATACTAAAAGGGGTTACATGATGTGCTCAGACTCCCTGAGCTAGAATTTGAACACAGCACAGCGTGATTGTTGTGCTAACCTCCTTGCCCATTTTCACTTTGCCATCGCTCTACAAAATTGGTGAACACACTCGGTCTCTAAAACACCCCCTGCACAAGCAGCCCCCTCGAACGAACATGTAGCCTGTTTTCATCCCTTTTATGCCAGATATTCAATTCCGTACCCACCAGGAAAGCTTTGAGAGAGTCATTCTCTTTTGATAAACTCATACAAAAATTTTAGAAGTTGCCAACCAAATTTTCAGTTGACCTTCGGGGTTGAATTTCTCAACCCCCTTTGCTTGTGCTTTTTCACGAGATCTAAGTGTAAGAGGGAAAGCTGGACTGTGTTTGCTAACATTAAATGTTTGTGTTCTCATATTTTAGTAATGAAAGGATGCCGTGACAGTTGATGGGGATAGTGAGCTCATGGGATGATGGCATAAAAAGTAATAAAGAACGTGAAAGCTTTTTGAAGGACAAGCTAGTGTTTTAAATGCAAGACAGCCATTGTAGAGCGAGGGGTTGTGGTTTCAATAGGTGTGCATGTTTATAGCCTTTTGTGGCCTTTAAAAAAAAAAAACTGAAAAAGTGAATCTGGCAGGTTTCTTTCTTGAATGGTTAAAACAGTTTGCATTGGAGCTATGCTTGGTCAAAAGACTAAAAACTCGTGTCAGAATACGATATTGAACACGTTAGTTTGCACTAACCAAACAAAAACAAAAAGTTGGGTTTTGGCTTTTTCGTGTAACCTTGCCCATCTTTTAGAAAAGCAGGGAGAGGGTGGAATAGAATTGAGGTTCTTGGATAATCCTCAAAATGGATGATGAATTCTAAGCAGTGTTCTCATGGAAAAAGAAGAAAGTATTCCCTACGGCAGTTATATTCAGGGTTTATAGATATGCCTGCGTGTACAAATTCCAGGTATGTGTTTGCAACATGGCATGCATTACCACCTTTGACCAGTAAAAGGCCAGCCTGACAGATCTTTGTGTGGAATATGGACACGATGATTCCTTTTGATGCTAAGGGTTTGGATTTTCCTTTTTACCTAACTTGGAAATTTGTCATCGTCTTTGTAACTGGTACCTCAACAGTGTTTACCCCCAAATTAAGTCACAATTAATATTCAGGCTTCTCAGTAAACGCTACCTTTCGCCTTTTAATTTGTATTCTTCAGCATGGCAGACTGTTTTAAAAACCACTTGTTTTCCAAAACATGCCTGAATTTCTTCTGCCCCATGATAGCTTCAAAACAAAACATTTTTCAAAACCTGAGAATATTTGAGTTTTGATAACCAAAAAAACTTAAGGCGCTTACATATGAAAAACAAATAACTGTAGAAAAATGCCATTCCCAACGATTTAATTGTTCTGAGCCATTTGGGAAAACTAAAATTCCTTTAGCATGATGTGTGTTCAGAGGATCTTTGAGTTTGGCTGTTCAATAACTTACTAAAGAACAGAGGATGGATGACATAAAGTACTCCTAATATGGTATCATTTTCATTTCCTGTTTGTTGAAAGATAAATGCTTACACTGAAATGCTTTTTTTCCCCTTTTCTTTCTTAATTTATTCTTCCCTGAACCACAAGGGAATAAAAAGAGAAAAAAAAAAATCAAATGTGATATGGTTTGAGCCTGAGTCAGTTAGGATAAGCTCAAAGTTTTTTTCTCTTCTTTTGTACCCTTTCCCTTCTCTCTGTCTTCCCCCTAATTCCCGAAACACCACCCCCCAGTCCACATACACACATTAGAAAGTAACTTTGCTTAAAAAGGTGAAGCATATTTGATTCTTATTTTGGAATAATTTTAGACTTACAAAAAATAATGGATTTTTAAAGCATTTCAAGCTACTTAGGTGACAGAAGGAATACATTCCGCCCCAATGCTAAGGTGGTATTTTGGACAAAAGGCCTGTAAAAAAATATTGAAAATAAAACAGTATGTATTTTCTCTCTCTTTCCCTCTCTTCCTCTCTCTCCTTAATCTCTTCTACATTTTCCCTAAACGGCCAAGCCTGTTCTCTTAACTTTATCTCAGGAGATGCATTTCCCACTTGATTTACAGATGCAGTCATGAAACATCCCTTGTGCCCACCTGTCTTGAACTATTGAAAATATCTCTGTGTTAAAGCAACCCAAGGCAAACATTAAAGTAGCTTCAATAAGTAGTATTTGAGTGCCCGTGACTTCAGAAGATTTTTTTTTTTTTTTACAGAATAAGGAGGCTTAAATTATTAAGATGAGGCCAGCACATAGTAGGTACTCAAATACTGAGTAAACGAATGGGTTAGCTTATTCTACGCTCATTTGAAAATGGGAAGCTGTCAACTGCCATAGCCTTCTCCTGCCCCGGTAATGTGACTCACCAGCTCTGTCTTAATCTATGCCTACCTGTTAAGAAAGACGAAGCTCATTTTGCATAAATGCATCCATCTGGCCGGGAGTTTTTCCCTAACCACAACAGATGAATTTATGAGTTTTAGCTACCTAGCTCATTTCCCTTTGGCTTCCTCATGAAAAAAGGCTGGCTAATAGGCGTGATTCACGTGTGTCTTTTAGCCGTCTCTGTTCCATGAGCCTCCTTGGTGCCAGAAGGTCTAGAACTTTCCAGTTAAACTCTTGCGCATCTCCTGTTGAGAAATCTCACCCCACCACCTCCGACGACTTGGAGTCTGGCAGTGGTCATATAGATTTCAAAAAGGGATTAAGCAATGCAAATGATTTTGTCATGCGCTGTGGTGTCATAGTTTAATTTGGACTGTGTATCATTTCTGGTGTTACAAAGAGCCGTGCATCTTTGTTCAGAGAAATAACAAAGCATTTTCTTTCTGCTAGCTTGCAAAAGACAAAGAACGCCTGCAAGCCATGATGACCCATCTGCACGTGAAGTCTACAGAACCCAAAGCTGCCCCTCAGCCCGTAAGTACGGATCCCACATGAAGGGGGGGAAAAAAAACAAAAAAAAACAGAACAATTTGCTTCTTAACCCCACACATAGGAAGGAGGGTGACCTATGACTGCAAATTTGGATGTCAAAGGCCTTGTGATCAGTTGACTATTTCCAGCTACCTTTTATGGCAGAGGGTACCATGCTAGGCATTACAGGAGATGCAGGGTGGTTCCAACATGGTCCTGGCCCATGAGACCCAAGCAAGCAGCTCTTCTTTGGGCCAGAACGATTGGTGCTAGACCAAGGCGCTAAGATACATTCCGAGAGCTCACTGGAAAAGGAAAATCCTTCTGAACGGTAGGGAGGCAGAGAAGGCAGCTAAACCCCGATGGCAGAAGACTGCAGCGTTTCAGCTTGGGTAAGCAGAGAGAACATGGCATGTGAGGCAAGGAACAAGAAATGGTCTGGTCTGACTGTAGCAGAGGGGAGAATTAGGAGACAGGCTGGGTCGGAACAGCTAGAGGCTGAATTATAGAGAGCATCTCATGGTTATGAAGGAACTGGAAGTGAAAATCACTCCTTCACAGTTAGGAGAATCAATACACGGTACGCTGAAATTACATTTGACTTTTAGGAATCTCCTATTTCTTGCCTTGTTCTCTTTTACTGCACCTTGGAAGGTGTCATCCAGAACAGGCAGTTAATATCAAAGCAGAAAGATGGTCTCTAAACCCCAAATCCTGGCTTGGACCTCTCCTCCCTTGTAATAAATTGATCTCTTTAACAGTCCGATTTCTCACAGACTTACGTTTCTAAAATTCTCTTAGTAGCTTTAACTGATTATTCAAAATGGAGACAGTGCTTTGCTTCCTGATTTTTAAGATTTGTAAAATTTAAAGGTACACTGCCTTTATTTGATTTTGCTTGGAGTCACTGTGTGAAAATTAATTGAGCGTTGACAATCTATAGTTAGTACCAGCAATTTTAATCAATATGCAATGATGCAGCATAATGGCAAAGTATTGGTTTATCTGTTTTGACTGATTTTTTTCTATAAATAAAGCAAACATACACCCATATATGTATGATTTATGGTGATAGAAATAAAATGGAGTCAGACTATTAACCCAGCAAATATGGTAGCCTGCCAAGATGCAGTTGGCAGACAAAATTAATGTCTGAAACAGAACACATTACTGAGATATAGGACATAAAATCATTAAACACTCGGTGCATCCATTTTTACTAGGAGAGAGTCCTTAGTTTCCATGTATTTTACAGTAAATGGTTGTAGGGCTGGATGTGGAGGCTACCAAAAAGAAAGAAAGGAAAAATAAAAAAGACCAGGATTGTGGAAATCAGTAGTCCACTGTGCTATTTCTAGCAGCACCCCCTTTTAAGGAGGATACTGGGAGTCCCGTGAACCCACCTAAGCAAATGTGTGAGACCCTGAAACCACTTGGTTGATTTCTCTCGAATAGGCATCATGGCACCGGGCACTGATTGGCTGGGAACTTTTTGAAAGTCTTCAAATGGCTTTAGTGAAATGGTTTTCCCAGAAGGGAGGGTTTGAGTCTTTCCACTTGACAAGAGAGAGAATGGGTTCATTTTCTCCTTCCTCCATTGGTTAAAAGCAATGGTAGAATCATGGTTGGACCCAGCACTGTAGGGGTAGACTTGTTTTGGATCCCAGGGCTCCTTGAGGGGGCAGGAGGGACACAGTGAAAGAGAAGGAACTACAAAATTCTGCAGGGCACCGGGCACGTGACTCTTGGATGTCTGCAGGGAGCACCATAGGTATGAGCCCAAACAGGCCACAAAAGGACCGTTGAGAATCTCCACGTGGACCGGTGTTAAGCAGCCAGTAAACAGGGGAGGAAAAGCAGTCATCAAGGGAAATGAACAGGGAAGGGAAGGGTTGTCTTGATTAGTATTAAAAAAAAAAAAAAGTGTTTTACATTCTAGAAAATTACAACTCTGAAGGGGACCTCCTACTAAATTTATTTTTAACTGCTCTATTGAAAATTCTCGACCACTAGTCAACATTATCTCTTAGTAGCTCAGCACAGTATTTCTTTATTAAAAGAAATAGGCACGAATATTTTTGACTGAAAAATTAATAGCTTTTGAATTCATACACAGCAGGTTTTCTTTTGCAAAGAAGTCCAATATCGCTGCACAGCACTTCTATAACCATTTATTTAGAGTCCAAGTCAAACCTTTGACAGCTAGAGCAGCACTACAAGCCAATATAAAGAACTCTAAGATGTAAACCAACAATAGACCGTCTGTGTGAGGTTTACCATTGTCAAATACATAGATTGTTTGGATTAGTTTATGTAAATGTACTGTTGTATTACCCTTTGGGGAAGAAAAAAAAAAAGATCACATTTGTGTATGAAAGGTGGTTCCCCTCACAGGCAGCATTATAAATTCCTTATCCTTTAACTTACATGTAAGAAGTAAAAATTGGTGCCTGACAAGCAGGTATTGTGTAACACTCTGTTGTCGGAGTGAACCTGCCTTCTTTTCATTTACTGGAAAATAGAAAATTTTATTATAGATACCATCTTATAAATCGGGAATTATTAAAATATGTATAGGTGAGGCATTGGGAAATTAATTATAAAAGGTGGACGTGTAATGTTTTGCATAAATTTACACTTCCTTGCCAAAAAGAAAAAAAAAAAAAGAGGCACGCACATGCAGCAAAGTCTCAGTGCTTTCAACTTTAGGGATCTAGAGTTATCTGGTGCACTGATTCTAACATGAAAAATATGCCGTAGAGCCTGTAATTAATTTATTCCACCCTAAATAAATGGAACGCATGGTGTATGTTCGAGTGAGTATCCTTCTAGAATCTTTGATTCGAAACAAGCAGTCACCGGGATTCACATCTAACCATAGATGGGGGCTTTCACGTTACAACCTTGCCAGTAAGTTTACGAAGTTTTCCTTCTTATTTCCATTTCTGTGTAAAAGAAGCCTGGTGTTTATTTAAAAATTCTTAGTCACTAAGTGATAGAATGCTTTGCTGTAAATGTTGCTTTTCACCAAATGCCATTTGGGTGCTAAGTGTCATGCGTTACATTCCATCATCCAACCAGTCCCCACTTCCTTGCATCGGAGAAGCTGCCGAAATGTTCTTGGTTCATTCTGATATCGGCTCATAGACGAGTTTTCTGGAGCCTGTTGTGGAACTCGTCTTCAGATTTTGGATAGTTAGAGGATATGCTCGTCTCGGGAAGGTGCCCGAGTGTTTTTGGGATGTGCATCTGAGCACAACCCAACCTGGGAAGGAAGCGTATGGCCTTCTCCAAAAAGCATGTCTTCTTGCTTTCTGTTCCATCTTTTGGCTTTTCAACCTAAAAACAAACAAAAACACTTTCCTTTCAGAATTATACCCAAGACTTAAAGTGTAGACTGTTTGGGGGAAGGGAGTTCCTGCATTTAGTATCAAACTGTTCCATCAACAAATATCTGTTGAACATGCTAAATACTGAACATAGGGTAGTCAAGTAAGAGAGACCTCTCTCTCCCATTGGGGTTTTTGGAGTCTTATGGAACAAACTAATAATAACTACACACACACACACACACACACACACACACACACACACGAAAGCATGAGTCTTGCCTTACATATAAGTAGGACAACTGACCCAGAATAAGTGAGATCGAGGAAAACTTCTGGGAGAAGTGATGTCTGAGCTGAAACCTAAAAGAATAGTAGGAAGAAATGGTAAGTCAGCTTTGTGGATTTTTTCCTCGGGTTAAGAGTAGGTGCAGGTGTCTTTGTGGCTAAGGGGCAGGGGAGCTCAAGAGGAAGGTGGGGAATGAGGATCAGTTTGGATGAAGGAAAGGGAAGAGCCCACATCAGCTAAAATAAGCTTTTCATACTTCGGATTTTATGAAGGCTTAGATCCTGCATGAAAAAAAAGGACATGTAAAAAGTCCACCAGAGCAGCCGTGAGTTCTAGGCATCAGGTACCTAGAGCGGAAAAGCAGCTGTGGACCCATGGTTGGAATGGCCACGTTTGTTGTATTTCACGTTCTAAAAGATTCTCCTGTTTTCCATGGAAAAGACAATCCAAAGCAAAAACTAAGACTGCTTTCACGAAAACGATGGGTATGCTTTTGTTCCAAACTCAGTAACATTCTCAGATCAAACACCCAAACTTACTGCTTGGAGATTACCATCCACGTGCTTATTACTCCGTGGAGAACTAACTGGCCGCCTAGATAGTTCCTTGGGGTGGGCAGGGGGCAAGACTCGGAGGACAGAACAGCAACAGAAAGGAACATGTCTGTGTTTATAACTTGATTAAGTTGTTGAGGATTTCTTCAAAAGGCTTCCCATTATGTCAGGAAAACACTGTAAATCGTATTTTATAACGCCGAGTACACGAGAGGTACACTGTGCTTTAGGGTATCTGTCCCTACCCATCAGAGAGCAACTCCTGATCCTGGAGGAACCACATTCTTACAGATTTGGTGGGCAGGTAATTGCAGTGCAGGTAGTATATATCCTTCTTCACGAAAATCTTATAAAGCACTTGCAGGAACTTGGCTGTTTGGAATGAAATGCAGTATTAGATTTTCCTCTTTTACACATTTTTCTTTTGCTCTAACCATAGCAATTAGGGCTGTTTTGAAATAGTTTTGAGCTACTATAAAAACAAAGCTCCCCTCCTCTGGAAAAAAAAAAAAAAGCTCTTTTTTTTTTTTTTTAAACTCTTCAAGGATCGTTTGGGCTGCTGGGATCTTGCTCCAATGTTGGAGAAATAATATTAGCAGGTCACAGAGAGGGGGCTTCTCAGGAACAGCATATTAATAGAAGAGCTGTTTTATGCACTGTTTTTTCATTAAGTGCGCCCCCCCTTCCCCCACCCGACTCAAGTTTCTTGTTTTGTTTTGAGTCTCACTGCCAGTAATGCCACCTTCTGAGTTGGTGCCCTAGGCCAGCGCCTGTCCCCAATGCAGGGCCAGGCGGAGACAGTCAAGGAAAGCAGTGGCTGGTAACAAAGGC